GAGGGCTACTCAGTTTCATATTGTAATGGTAAATGAGACAAAAATATATACCCCTAACTGGAGGTGAAGAATAAACTGCATGTTCTCTTTCATAGGTCTGTATCTCCATGTTATATCACTATAATATAGGGAACATAATGTGATAAATATTTGTTGAAAGATAAAATGTACAGATATTATGTGCACATAGTAAGAAGTCAGTAACAGTGCAAATTTTTGTTACACTTTCATATAATGAAAATGCTGGCTTATGGACAGGTTTATCCCACATAGTGGGTTTGTGATCTATTGTGTCCACAGTGATTTTAAGTCACACAGAATTCCTGGCATTGTGGATATTGCCTCTGCCAGTCACCTGCCAAAGAAATGAAACCTTGCACACAATTTTCCACCTTATGGTTCCTCATCTGCTAAAAAAAATAAAACGAAAGGAGTAAATAGAGGCAGGTCCTCATAGGGGGCTTTGGAGCATTAAGTCAGATCAAAGGTAAGGAGACTTATTTATTCCTTACAGTGTACCGATTATTTCATTTATTCCTTACAGTGTATCAAGGATTTTATTCTAGGAGAACACAAATGCAATGGCTCCGTGCAATTAAACAATAGCAGGACTCTGATTTTCCCAACTCCTGGGTGAACTCTGTGCTGGCTTTGTAATATACAAAATGAAATGGACAAAAAATATGTAACCTTTTAAAGTACTTTCAGCATATATTAAATGTTAAGGTAATAGGTATGGGTACTGTGCAATTTGATGGTGGCAAAACGTAAATCACGTACTTTACTGCCATTTCCCTTGATGGTGTGCATATACACATGCATGTTTGTTTAAAATATTGATGAATTGGTACATTGTGATTGTCATGTTATCAAAATAAAACTGAAGATTTCATTGGTTTTCAATGATGATTTTTTCATTGTATGTATGTAACACTTCTTTTTTAACCTTTCGTCATGACAGGACATTTAGGTGTGTCAGTATCCTGCCTATCGTGAATAATGCAGCTGACCCTGGGAGTGAAAGGAGGACATTTATAATAGAAAAGTTTCCCAAAAGGTACTTTCCCCAACGCACAGCACTGTATTTTATGTTCATCCACTTTTAATATACTAAATGTTTTATTTATTTTCTATGACCACAACTATAACAAAATATTTATTCATTGTTGTATTTTCAAAAACGAGACAGAACCAGCCAAAAAATAGCTGGGTCATAGATATTTGTTGAATTAAAACACATGAATGAATGGATTTAAGTATTTTAAAAGAGCTATTTTTATTTTCTAGAATCCCTACGGTTTAAATTTCTTTATTATCAATATTCATCTCTAAGCTGGTTTCTGGTTTTATACCTTTAAGTAGATGTGTCATCATAGATGATATTTATTATAATAATTTATGCAAAATGTATCAAATTATTACATAATTTGATATCACATAAAACATAATTTGCTAGCTTTTGAATAGATTTTCATTAGATTTCACAATTAACTGTTCTCATTACCTGGAGTTAAATACTATGTTGAGATAAATTAGAACCTTCAAATGTACAAAATTCTAATTGATACTCGATGATGACAATGAGCACTTGGCAGTGATCAGAGCTGAATAAAAAGTGAGAAATATTTTTCCATTTCTATAGACAATGGCACATCAAACTGTGGGGAGTTTAGTTACACGGTGGTTATGTGTCAGTCTGTGATGTGATGACTTTTTAATGGGAAGGTTCCTCTGTTTTCCCACAGCTTTGTCACATTTATGTGTGGGTTTGAAGCTGTTGTTTTTATACTGGCTTCACATTCTGACAAAATAATAGAAAAAATCATTATATTTGTTACCAACCTTGAAACAGAAAAGACAACTATCAATCACAAGAGGATGGAGACTCTCAGCAGATCTGAGCAGTGAGTGGCCTCCTGGAATAAGATATGAACTGAGTGGCCTAACATGTCACATCTTTTCAAGGCCTGGACCAGCCAGGAGTGACGTGATTAGAGACCAGAGTCCAGGAGTTACCTAGAAACTAAACGAGTTCATCATGTTGATTAAGCCCATGGGAAACAGATAGTAAAATGTTAAATTTTGTGCAATAATTGAAGTGGTATTGGTAGCAGGTGGGTTACTCGTAAGGGGGTGAAAGTAATGAAAACTCTTTTTAAGTGACATCAAGGCAAAGACTTTCCTATATACAATCCATCCTTAGAGCAGAGAACTGTCCTGTGGAAACTTTACTGAACACATGGTTTCTGATAAGGCATTTTATGCAACACAAGCTAACAGCTGTATATATATCCACTACAGTAAGGTTATTATTATTTATAGGGGCACAACTTATGCTTTTCTCAAGTGATTAAATGAAGTTTTACATCTAATATCCTTTTCTGATTTTAATGTTGGGTAATATTTTAATAAAAATAATATATCTTGGAAAATACATATATTTGAACTTGAATTTATTTTCTATAAGGAAATTTCTATTTTTAATATACCTAAGAGAGGGTGCAGTTAGATATCTAGGATGGTTTTCATATGTAGTACCTCTGATCTTTTAATATACAATTTCCTATTTGTTAACCAATTTGGAATAAACAACTCATGATTTTCATATAATTCTTATTAAGATAGACATTATAATTTATCATATAAATAGTGGGAGATTATGTTTGCTTATTTGATTCCAGGAAGGTGACACTTGCCACCTTACTGTGGAATCACAGTACCTCGTACAGGTAGAATATGTTTTCAACAGAAAGGTAAAGGTATAAGTTTAGAAAATTGCCCATTTGCACAAGTTCACTTTGGAGCTAAATCAAACTCAGGCCCTCCTGAATTCACTCGTGTTGATTCAGGAATATATTTTGTGATCAGTATCATCCAGCCATACTCAAATATAACGGACACATATACACTTAAGGTGTAAAATGGGATGATTTGATGAGTATACTTGTTACAAAATGATTACCACATGTGAGCTACCACATCCAGCACTGCACATCATAACCATGTCTTTATTGTAATGAGAAGGTTTGAAATATACTCTTTTAGCAAGTTGCAAGAATATAATGCATAAGTATTAACTGGAGTCATGCACTGTATATTAGATCTAGAGGATTTAGTGAATTTATATCTGGAATTTGGTACTTTGACCCTCTTCATCTAGCCTCACACTCCCATTTCCAGCCGTAGCATACACAACGTATGCCTAGTTGCTATGAATCATTTGATTTTAATTTATATTCCACGTGCAAGTGAATGAATATACTAATTTTTTCTGTGTGACTTATTTCACAAAGCAGAATATACTCTATGTTTATTCATGGTGGCACAAATGGCAATATTTCCTTCTTTATGGCTGTATCAGATTCCAAGTTGTGTGCTCTATATTACAATTTTTTAGAACATAAATATGTTGATGAAAACTTCTGCTGTTAGCATGTCTTGGTGTTGTAAATAGTGCTGCAATGAGCATGGAGGGCAGATACCTCTTTGACACAGTGACTTCGTTTCCTTCAGATATGTACCCACTTCCACTGTCAAACAAGTCAGTGCAGAGCTGTTCACAGCGGGATTCTGCAGGAGAGTCACCAATGCATTTCTCAAAGCCAAACAGAGAGGTCTGCAGTATCATCTTGATTATGAATTTCAATCCATCACTTGGACAGAGAAGACACTGGTGGTTGCCACAGGGGAGGGTGGTGAGGGGACTGATGAGCTAAGGGAAGGTACAGAGATTCTGCTATCACTTCACATCTTGATCTGGGGGATGGTAACCTGAGTGTATATTCGCATGTCTAAATTCATTTAAATCTGCTCTAGAATTTGTGCATTTTATTGTATGTACTTCACAAAATGTAAAAACAAATCAATAAATAAGTATTCTGTCCAGAGAAAGCCCATTTTTTTCAGAGCTAACGTCAACTTAAAGAAAGATAAATTAATCATTTTACATGAAACAATATGCACATAGAATGTTTGAGTATTTTCATATGCTACTTTGTATAACCAGGAATAAATGTAGTGATGAGTAATAATGAGAGGCAGATGTTATTCTTAATGTAACGGTAGCTTTAATCACTTAGTAGCTAGTACAGATGGGCAGGAGAGCTGAACCATAACACACAGCCTGGCTCAGGCAGCAGGGGTCATCTGAGCATCTTCAGCTCTCAGGCTCAACCTCGGGCTCATCCTTGTAGTTTGTGTGGCCACCTGATCTCTATCAATAATTACAGAATAGACGAGTTAGGGATTTCCTGTAGGATGCTGCAGACATGGCCTCACTGCAATGTTGAACAAAACATAGATGGCTGAAAATGTGACTTTTATCACTGAAGCTAGATGTGAGAGTTCTATGTTGTTGTAGGTACTACTATGACCAGGGAAAATGTGTGAAATGCACGTGTGAGAGAATACATCCTGTTCTTAACAATTTTTATTTTCTGCAGACAGTGATGGTTCATCAACTACAAAACAAAGAAATAGGCAGTTGCATTGGTTAAGTCACTCCTCAACTTTTCTCCATTACAGTTTGATTTCATGGCACTTTCTGAGGACACTGGCAGTTTTGCAAAATGAATCCTTATGCTCCACTAATGAAAGTGATGATGGAGCTTTCCGGAACAATTCAGAAGTACCTAGATGCCCTTTGCTCAAGAGTTCACAATACTCAGAGGACCCTGATTTTTTTAGACTCGTGGTTCTGAAGAGCAAAAGCCAAATCATTCATCCTCCTCTTTCTAATCCCACTAAATTGGGACTAACCTGTAAATGGGCTCCACCAATGTTTCCAATATTCTTCCAGAAACACTGCTCTAACCACTTTCATACTGCAAGTTTCAATCAAGGTTTATGAACCAAGGCTCAACTATGAATCATTATCCTGTGATGATTTTCAACAACATAAATTGTAAAACACTTCTCTGCCTCTTTGATGTCCAATATGAAGCATGCACCTCTGTTAGAATTTAAGAAATGTACCATTTCCCCAGCGCTCTCAAATATAGTTAAAATATTTTCTTTACTTCTTTAATCAGGACTCTTTCCAGAGCTGCATTCATATCCTTATTTCTCAGGCTGCATATGACGGGGTTCATGATTGGAGACAACACAGTATAAGAAACAGACAAAAGGAGGTCCAGGATGGTCTGAGAGGGGGAGGCCGGCTTCAAGTAGGCCAAGGCAGCTGTGAAAGTGAACAATGACACAACCGCCAGATGAGGGATGCATGTGGACAGGGTTTTGGACCTTCCCTCCTTGGAGGAGATCTTCAGGACAGCAGAGAAGATGTTGACATAGGAATATGAAATGGAGGTGAAGCACATTATGGTCATAATTGCAGCTATTAATGTCACTGATGCTTCATCTATGTTCATTTTAGGATTTGAGGTGAAAATAATCTGAGAGATATAAAAGAAGAAATGATGGATTTTATTGGAACTGAAATTTGTCGAAAACATCGCTGAAGCATGCATGGCTCCATAAACCAATGCACTGACATATGAAGCCACCACTATCCGACCACAGGCCTCCTTGGTCATAACGGTCTCATAGTGCAGCGGGCGGCAGATCGCCACATGGCGGTCATAGGACATCACTGTGAGGATGGCAAATGCAGCAGCACCAAAACCTGCAAAGAACAGCACCTGGAAAACAGATCCAAGATAGGATATTTTGTTCTTGTTCATCAGGTAGAGACCAAATTTAGGAACAGTGACAGAGATGTAGCAGAGATCTATGAGTGACAAGTTCTTCTGGAAGAAATATATTGGTGTGTGAAGTTGAGGGTCCGACGTAATGACTATGATTATGAGTCCATTACCTATCAGGGCTGCTAGGTAAGCCACAAGGTACAGGGATCCAATAATATTTTGCATCCTCAGGTCCTCAGAGAATCCCAGAAGGGGAAATTCTGTGACTCCTGTGTAGTTGCTCATCACATCCACTGTGTGTTCCCAAGTGTCACTGCTGTAAATAAAGTGCACACAAGCCACTGGGTGATGGTGCCTCCATGTCCCAACTACACAGAGAAAACAGCTTTGGAAGAGAAATTACATGTATAGAAGGCCAATGAATCCTAAAATGCATTTTAACCATTTGGTGGAATGTAGTCTTGCTGTTTTTACAATGAGAGAAAATAATAAATTTTTATGTAGGAGAAAGTGTCACTTACAAAATTAATGAAATATAAAAAGTGAATCAGTATGAATCTTCTTTAATCTGAGCCAGGAAAAATCCTCTCTATTATTTTATCTAACTGTATGATATTTTATTTTGTGTTGTATTTTATTGTGTTAAAAATTAATTAAATGTCTTTAATGCACTTTTTCAATGGGAATGTGACATTATAACAATGCACCATTTTTCAGAAAGATTTTCCTGTTGGCAGGCAACTAGGGCGTTTTCTGATATTTTTCCAATACATTTAACAGTGTGAGTATAGGATACCCATTATCATCATTTACTAGGCAATCATTTACTTAACGTTTTAGTATGACATGAGGAAAAGAAGTCATAATTGGGAAAAGACAAAATCATCTCTCTTTTTTGGGTAGATGATGATTGGCAACATAAAATCCATGATAAATGATAAATATTGCATTAGAATGAATATGAGAATCCAACAATGTTGTTGGGTCCAAGATCAACATTTAAAAAATCAGTGTTATTCTTGTATACTAACAAAGCCAATTAGAATATTACATTTGTAAATTCAGTTTGAATCCAAATCCCAAGAGGCGTTTAAGAGAGCCTTCATAGCTTATCCTAAAATTCATATGGAAGTATATGCTTCATTTTCTATTATCATGGACACCCGATCAATGCTATCATATAATATATTATCTTCAGTGCCTTGCTATTTTCACCTAATGTTATTTTATTTTCTGAGATTCATTTTAATATATATATATAGATTTTTAAAAATGTGAAACTCAATACTTGTCCTCAGTTTCCTTGATGGTTTTCCAGGGCTGCTTATGTTCTCCAAATATATTCCTATATTAATAAAAGGTTGAAATATCCATAATTAGTATTTCAAATATTAAGATAACCAATAATGAAATAAGGGATATATTAGGATTTTCCATAGAGGGCTGCCAAAGTGAGGATGGAGGCAGTGAAGGTGGCCACCACCCATGTTCCACTAGAGGTAATGATTAAACCTCACATATTTCTTCACAGGTTCAGGCTCCATGGTATATCTCTGTGACACTGAGAATGTAATATGATAAGCTTGAGGTAATGATTAAACCTCACATATTTCTTCACAGGTTCAGGCTCCATGGTATATCTCTGTGACACTGAGAATGTAATATGATAAGCTACAAATACTTATTGAGAGATACAATGTATAGAAATTATGTGCACTTAGTAAGAAATCAATAATATTTCATGCCATGAAAATGCTGGCATAAGGACTGGCTTATCCCACCTAGTGGGTGTATTATTTACTGTGCCCAACACTGATTTTAATCTTTGGTGGAGACAGAGTTCCTGGCATTGTGATCATTGCATCTGCCAGTCACCAGACAAAGATATGAATCCTCGTGCAGACCTACACACCTTATGGAACTTCATCTGCAAAACAGGAGGAAACAGGTATCAAGAAGCTCTCTTGGAAAGTGAATTTGAGTCTATAATTTTTTTATATACATTTCCCCATTCTATACCAATGGCCACAGTTTCCTCCACATCGGCTTAGGGAGTTTTATACTTTCATGGGGATAATGTGTCAGCCCACAATGCACTGAAGGAAAATTGAGATGGTTGCTCTTTCTTTTATCACATACGAGTCACTTTTATATTTGGGTATGAAAGCATTGTTCTACATAGCTCCAACAATTCTGAAAAGTTAAAGCATACATTTACATTTGGATACCAACCTCATAATGGAGCCACAACTTTCTGTCACAGAGAGCATGGGAAATAGTGGCAGATCTGAACAGAGCATCACCCCCTGGCACACTGTGGACTCTGAATCCAAGTAGCGTCCTAACATTTCCCTTCTTTTCAAGGCCTGGAACCACCAGGAGAGACAGGACTGGAGATAATCCAGTGGTGACATGGCTTAGAAACTAAGGGACTTCAGCATGTTGATTAAGCCCATGAGACCAGACAGGGTGCCTTATTTTTGTGTGAGGGGTGAGATGGTCTTGGTGTCAGGGGAGTGAGTTGGAAGGGGAACAAAGCAATGAAAAGTCCATGTAGAAAAGATCTGAAGTGACATCAAGGTAAAGTCTATTGCATACCCAAAAGTCTTCAGAGCAGAAGAAATGCATAGCCTCCCCATGGAAACTTCATCCAAGTATATGTATAGAACACTTAAGACTCAACAGCAAATCAAACTGTTTAAAATGAGCATATATCTGAGTTGACATTTTTCAACAGAAGTCATACAAGGGGCCAATAGTTTTATGAGGAGGTGCTTAATAGCACTTTCATTATGAAAATGAAAATCAAAACTACAATATTACCTCACAAATATTACATGGGCTATTACCAAAATTCAGAGATTGTAAGGGTTGCTGTGGGTGTGGATAAAAAGTACACCTAGTACACTCTTGGTGGGAAAGTAAATTGCCACAGACACAAGTCAAAACAACATGGTAGCCCCCCAACATTAAAACTAGGACTACTATATGATCCAGCAATCCGTCTTCTGTACATGTACATGCTGGAAATTAAGTAGCTATCATGAAAGCTTGAGGTACCTGTGTGTCACTTCAGTGTTATTTACCCCCTCCAAGGCATGGAAACCACTTTTAAGTGTGCATCACAGATGAATGGATATGGTGGCCCATACAGTGGATATACTGGAATGTCTATAATTTATGATTATTTTATTTTCCCCCTTTATTGACTATTTCTCATATAATGACTTTCTTAATTTCTGTGAAGTTTTGACAAAGCTTATATCCCTTGATAGCTGTACAACCTATCCCCTATTCTTCTGTGGTTTCCATTTGTATGGAATATAGTTTTCCATCTCCTCACTTTAAGGCAATGTGTGTCTTTGGGCTACAGTGACTCTCTTGTAGGGAGCATGTAGTTGGGCCTTTCTTTTTTAATCCATTCATCCACTCCAAGTCATCTAATGTCTCTTTCCAATTTGTAAATTATCACTATTCACATATTGTGTGAAAGTTAAAATTTTAAGTGTGTGAAAAGGAACATCAAAATCCTACACATCAGGGGCAGAGCGAACATGGAGACATGAGTAGTTCAGTGGAAATCTCCTCCCCAAATATATATATTTATTAAAATTCAATAAATATAACTATTCCTAAAAGAGACACCAGTGGATACAGTAAAACAGTTAAGATACGTCTACATCTGTGAGAACTCAACATCACATGAAGGGGGTAAGACACAAGCCGTGGCCCAGCGGGACATGAGCAACTCCCAAGCCAGAAACCAGTGGAAAGAAAGGAGTAGGAATGGAGAGGGATTGAAAGCCAGGACTGCTAAACAACCAGCTCTAGATATGCTCACCCGGAGCGCAGACACAAGGTGCACGAGGGTGCTGGATATTAGAGAAATGGAAAAGCAAAACCTGTGGGCAGCTCTCCATACCCAGAGCCCCTGAGACAAATGAAAAGTGAGTGCTTTTTGCAAGTCTTAAAGAGACAGGGACCCCACAGCTGGATAAAGTCATCCTGGCACACAGCCAGCAGCTGGGAAAACCAGGGAACCTTAGGTGCCCTAACCCCCTGAGTGGCAGCACAGCTCTGAAGCCCCTCATGGCACTAAGCAGCCAGTCAGTTGCTCCACTAACTGGCGCAGACCCTGACACACCAGCCAAGTAGTGGCAGAGTGGCAACGCAAGCCAGGTGCATCATAGCCAGAGGGGAATGGGAGCATCTTGTGCATGCCAGAGCACCAGAGGGGCCAGGAGTTGTCCATTCAATCCCACCATTTTGGCAACAGAGGGTCCTGGGAGTGGCCTGCATGCACCAGCAGTGGCGGTGCCAGAGAGGCCCAGGAGTGGCCAGTGGGAGATGGTGGTGGTGGCAGAGGTGCAGCCCAGGAGCAGCCACTCTCCCAGCAGGTGACTGGAACCGCAGCCTGACACACAGGTGACTGGGCCAGACCCAAAGGCTGGTGCTGGCACACAGCTGCCGGACAAGGGAGCCGCTATCATGGAAGAGTGCACCAAGCATGCCTGCCAATCCCCACAGGGCACTGCACTGCTCTGACTGAGAACACGCCCACAGCAGCTTAGGAGACAAACCTGGTTGTTGCTCCAGGATTGCGGGTAACTGACACAAGCAGCAGAGAAGGGCAAGGCATCCAGCAAGCAGAAAAGGACTTTCTTTTCCCAGCTGGCACACCTGCAACCTGCCTACAGCCACCACTATCACAATGAAAAGGCAGAAAAATTTAGTCCACTCCGAAATAGTCTAGACAAATCCAGAGAGAGGATCTGCAGAGACAGACCTAACCAGTCTCCCTGAAAAAGACTTCAAAATAAAAATCATAACATGCTGATGGATCTGCAGATAAACATGCAAGAGCTAAAGGAGCAAGTACAGAGGTAGACTGCAGAAATAAAACAATCACTGGAAGGACTTAAAAGCAAAATGGATGGGATGCAAGAGGCCATTAATGGATTAGAAAACAGAGAACAGGAATGCATAGAAGCTGATGCAGAGGGAGATAAAAGGATCTCCAGAAATGAAACAACATTAAGAGAACTGTATGACCAATCTGAAAGGAAAAATAACTGCATTATAGGGGTACCAGAAGAAGAAGAGAGAGAGAAAGGGATAGAGAGTGTCTATACCAGGCATCCAAAAGAAACAATTGCTGAGAACTTCCCCAAAATGGGGGAGGAAATAGTTGCTCAGACTACGGTAGCACACAGAACTGCCAACAGAAGGGACCCAAAAGGACAACACCTAGACACATAACAATTAAAATGGCAAAGAACAAGGAA